TATTTAAATTTAGGATACAGCTTTTTTAATTTGTTTTTTTTTTGTGTTAAATACAATATTCATTATTGGTGATCGAGAAACAATTTCATAGCAAAACAGAATTAAAAATTTATAGAATTTTTGTTGATTTTACTGTTTTACGCGTTCATTCTGTTATCACATCCAATCGCCAACAGTGAAAATTGACCCTTCCATATACAGACCACATGTAGGCAGAGTAAACATTTTCCAAATCGACGCGCTCTTCTCAGAGGGCTGCTTGTCGGAATTGATAAAAAGGGGTTGGTTAGATAGGTGCAGGGTAAATAAGTATCCATATGAAAAGTCAATACGGCAGTTTGTAGTGACGGGTAGAGGGAAGAAATTGAAACCGAAAATAAAGTATGACCAGAAATATACCTTTTCAAAGTAAGTAAATATACCTTTCCATTAGAACATTGTTTAAACAGGATACAATTTATTAATAAAAAATATAAAAAGTCTACTTTACAAAATTAAAATGTCTTCTTTAAACTATATTCTCAATTAAATATTGTATAAAGGGTCGACATATGCTTAGCATATTATAATTACTTTGACGTAATATTATGATGTCATGCGTCATATAAAATTAACTGTAACCAAAAAATTATCATTGAATTGCCTTAAAAAATTGCAACTTATTGCGACATGTACACTTGCCGTCATAAAAAACTACTACATTTTTTTTCCCAATGTAAACCTGTGTTCAGAAATCAATTCGTTGTTGCCATTACAGATAACGAAGTTGCACTAAATCTAAATAAAAAAATAACGTTCAAAAATGTATAAAATTGTTAGATAGGTATTATTTTTATCATTACCAAAAAAACTGAATCTAAGAAATTAAATAAGCAAAGATAGGGTTGAGTTATTATCCAAAATGTTTGAAGTATCTTTAAACTAGTGTATTGGCACAGGGAACATTGGAATAGATCTACTGAAATTTTATACTTCAATAACCTACCGATCTCGACCTGTATTCTATGTCAATAAGTTTTGTAACAGGCAAACTACCATGATTAATTTATTATTTAGTAAAAGAAAGATAAAAAATGTGAAAAACTAACATTATACTTTATCCTACGTATTATATACTGGAAAATATATTTGGTGCGAAAAAACGCTTTTCAAAACGTAACAGTTACAATCCAATATCTCATTGTATGTTTTATTATAATAATTTGAAGTTTGTCTATCTGTCAATATTTTTATAAATTGTTATAAAACACAAATCAATGTAGGGATAGTTAATTGAAATGATGGAAAATTACAAAATTAATATGAGAATTTTTTAGGATGCATGTATAAACAAATTTAATGTGACTGACTGATCGAGAGTACTCGATATTGATAATATTTTCGTTGAACTGGCAACGGTGCCCTAGGAGTCAGAATGACACTTGTGACAACATCAACGTACACAACTTAAAAAATACAATTTTTGATTATAAGAGTTGTATCAGTTTTTTATGACGGGAACGATACCAGACCACTCTTCCGATCCTACCTGAATACCCAAATTTCAAATAAAATTGCTTTAAACAATTTTTGATTGATTTCCATTATATACTAAATCTTAAATGTGCAGTCAAAATGACTATAATCTTTCCATATGATCTTTGACCTCTTCACACACACCTTATTCTCAGGACTTTATTCTCAGGAATATTCAAGGACCTTACTCTCAGGAACTCAGTTCTCTACTTGGGAGTTCGTTTTACGAGAACTCTCAATTGGAAGGCTGACGTCCAACATTCCCTTGACAGGATGAGAAAAAGGCTCAACCTCCTGAAAGTGCTAGCCGGTAAACTAGGAGGAACGTCCTCTAACACATTGTTGCACACCTACAAGACTTTCATCAGACCGATAATCGAATACAAGGCATGCGTTTACCTCTCCCTGAGGAATCACGAACTCAACGCCATCACCGCCACCGAGCGTAGAAACCTACGCTTCTGCATGAGAAAAGATTGGCTGTATCCATCAGCCCACATTTATGCACTAACCAACATCACGCCAATTAAGGACAGAATCCTAACCCTCAGTAGGAAGTATGTCTTAAGAACCATAGCTGGCTCGAACAACCGAGCAAAACAAACATTGAAGACACCTTGTTGACATAGGGGGCAAATACTCACCAGGCATCCCGCCAAAAAATTTCCATTCCCTCCAGCTAAACTTCTACATAACGCTGGACTTGAACTTACTTACTCTTACTTACTCCGTGGCGTTACAACCCTTCGTGGGTTTTAGCCGACTCGACAACATGCCTCCACTGTTTTCTGTCTTGAGCAACCTCCATCCAATTCTCCACGCCCATAGTGCTTAGGTCTCCTGCTGGACCCGAACTTCCTGAGGAGTATTTTGATATTCTTGAATCTTTCCCCATCTGTTATCGCAGATAAACTGCACACCAAAAACGCTGATAAAGAGCTGTTCCTACTGTATGGCTGGTAACCCTGAAGTACCTCACACTGCATGCTAGGCAAACCCAACTTCTTCTTGTGCGTTCAATCGATTCTTATCGATCACACAAATAAGCCACCTTCTTTTCCCTCTTTTCCTTAGTAGTTCTCTACTTCTTGGGTCGCGTTTCGTTCAATTGACGTTTTTCTCACACCCCCCACAACTCCGTCAAAAAACAGGAGTTCCCCATCCCTTGACGAGGCGTAAGCCGAAACAAGGTTAAAACTCAAGGTTGGTTCACACACACACGCATACACACACACACACTCACACAACGCGCGCGCGTTCAATTCAGCCCCTAAGAACATGTGTGTACTATTGTACAGTGGCACCCACATGTTAGAAGATCAAACTGGTCACACTTCGTTATGAAGTGGTGCTTATCTGCCCAAGATATTCCTTTGCCACTCCCCAATGTGTGACTTACGATATGAAGGCTTGTGAACTGGTTGTTACTATGGATGCTTTGGGTAATAAGACATCCTCTGTTTTTCTTGATTTTGATTAGGCCACTTGACTGTAGGGGTAGCTCAAAAATACTAACTTTTCTTTATAATTTCTTTACTAAATTAACTTTAATTTAACCATACTTTGGGACTCGAGTCCCCTAAAAGTGTGTGTTTTGAACAGAGAGCCATTAACCTAAGTTAATGGCAGTACATGTAACATATCTTCTTTTTCTTCTTCAGCCTTCATCTATCCATTGTTGGACATGTGTAATTTCCACGACTAAGGTCTTTAACCTGCCCTAAGGGTCTAGGCCTAAGCGCCAGTATAAAAGTACAAATATCTTAGTTCTAAATGAAATTAAACCCAATCAGTGTCTCTATGTTTGAAATGTGAACATTTAGAAGATTGTTAAGGATTCCATGGATAGATAGATTCCAAGTGTTAAGGAGAATAGACAAAGAGAAGGAAATGGAAAATACAATAAAAGAAAGGAAATTGCAATATCTCGGACATGTAATAAGAGTCGAAAGATTCAACATCTTGAGACTTATAAGTCAAGGAAAAATAGAGGGTAGGAGAAGCGTAGGAAGGAGACGCGTTTCCTAGTTGAAGAACCTGACACAGTGGTTTGGTTGCAGCTCGAGGAAATTGTTCAGAGCAGCTGCCTCGAAGTTTAGAATAGCCATGATGATTGCCAACCTCCGTCGCACTTAAAGAAGAAGAAGTGTCTCTCTAGTACTGGCTACCCTAGAATTGTAAAGTTCTTTGGTCATATCATTCATAAGAAGTGAAGATTCATAAGTAAAGAATCATAAGAACTGATCATAAAATGGAGCGGTTTGTAGTCCAAGGAAGCCCTTGGAGTCAACGCTAGTATGGCAGATCTCCACAGCAGTGGACAGATGAAAAAGTTTCTCAACAAGCAGTATATTGAGGCAGTACATGTAACAGATCTTCTTCTTAATGAGCCTTCATTTATCCATTGTTGGACATAGGCGTCCTCCAATTGCTTCCACGCTTCACTATCTTTTGGAGTTCTCATCCACTGCTTTCCAGCTACAGCTGGTATATCGTCTATCCATCTCTTTTTAGGTATTTCCACGCTTCTTTTTGTTTCTCGAGGTCTCCAGAATAAGACCATCTATTGGTCTCTTGTCTTGCTACATGTGCCATCTCAATGTCGCTATTTTTCCCATGATGTCGGTTACTTTAGTTCTTCGACGTATTTCGGTGTTGGGAATTTTGTCTCTAAGGCTTATATTTAACATGGCGCTCTCTATGGCTCGTTAAGTTACTCTTAATTCTTCTGCCATTTTTTTTTGTTATTGCCATATTTTCCAATCCATAAGTTGCAATTGGTAGTATACAAGTGTCGTAGGTTTTTCGTTTTAAGTGTATTCGGATTTTTCTGTCTTTTAAAATAAAGCTCAACTAACCAAAAGTAGTCCATGACAATTGTTTCCTTTTTTTTAACAGATGTACCACATAACCGCGACAAATTAAGCAGTATAAATGATCAGACTTTCCGAGCTGCTGAAGATCAAGGATGAACCACAACACATCTGCCAATATGTTAATGACTATGATGATGATGATGGGTCTTGTAGAGCTTTTAATTTTCTCGTCTTCTTCCATAAGGAATACTTTGTATATTTGTAGGTACTCAGGTTTTCTAAATTTGAATCTCCCTGTTTGTTTGTTTTTTCTTCTATTAACAGATTTTTAAGTCTTCTGCTCACTCTATTTAAGTTGATTTGCCAATGGGTGCATGTGGGTTTTACCACTAAGTTTTCTTTTCTCTTTCTCTGGAATTACCCTCCAAAGATACTCCCAATACAGAAGTAATTAGGTATAATCTTGGATTATGAACTGAAATGGAGAATGCGCATAACAAACAAGAACACTTATAATCTTAAATTACTTTCATTTCCAAATAATTGTACAAATTTGTTTGTTTAATTACCAATAATAACAGTATTTTAATTTGGTAAGGAACATTACCTGTGTACAATAATTTATATATTTGTAATAATAAAATAAATGATATAAAAAAATGTATTTACCTTGTATAATATCGACATCCCAGCAAACGACAGTAGAATGTGAAGTCCATTTATTAGCAATTGGAAGGAAAATATTAATCCCAGACACTTATTTGTGGCCCAAAAAAGCGCTGGATATCGAATGGAATAGATTACTAGAGCTAGAGCCAAGTTCATGTACTCGATGTTAACAGAGCTTATAAAACTGGTTTCTGAAACAAAAGAAATATTACATAAGTACTTATAATCACGTTGACATACATTGTTAATAATATATGACGTATTGACAAACATTACATTCAGGCATATATTACTTAAAAGTATAATAAGAAATTGGTATCACCCTTGCGTAATTTTTTATGTAAAATATGTGAGATTTGTTAGCATAGGGATTTATTACATAGCTGTTTTTAACATATTTCTTAAGAATCACCGTTAAGTCTATCTTCTATCTAATTAGTTGTACTTGGAACCGTTTCAAAGACAATTGTCCGGAGATAACGAGCAATTCCAACAGGAAACTACCCCGGTGGAATTACATCCTTGCAAATTTTGGTAAAGAAATTAGACAATAATTCAGGTCAGCTTAGTAAGGCCATTTTGCAAAGCTCTGGCTAAATATAATAAAGAACCCAGAAGAATATAATATAACAAAATATAATAAAGAAGCTAAGAGAATCAAGAAGAAGGTACTGCAAGGACGTAGAGCAGACTTATCCAGGCTTCATTAAAATAATATTAAAGAACCCTTAGCTAAGTGTTCCCATGTTTCAGAAGTAGTCAGGTGAAAACAATCAGAATGTTAAAGATATTTTAAAAGAACTGTTCAGGGTGCACTTTCAAGTCAAAAATAAAACTGATGCCACTAGACACAATGCAGCAGACTGATTGAATACTATGAATTATCGTTCTGGGGAAATTTTGAGTGTGACAAAAGAAATAAATAACTGACCAGTCATCTTTTAGCTATAGCTATTCTTTCAGATGCATCCGTGACTTCTATTTTCTTTTCATTTGTATATTTGGTACTTTATCTCTGATGGTAATACCTCGCATTGTTGTTCCGCATACCTCGAGTTGATGTTTTTGCACCATAGGCCTTCTTCTTTAAGTGCCATCTCCCAATCGGAGGGTGGATATCATCATCACTATCTTTACTCTATCTACTGCTGCTCTGAAGAGTTCTATAGAGCTGCATTTCAACCAGTCCCTTAAATTCTTCAATCATGACACTCTCCTTCTTCTTATACTCCTTCCACCTCATACCTTTCCCTATATTATCAGCCTTAGCAGTTCATATCGCTGTCCTCTCATTAAGTGTTTCAAATATTGTAACTTTCTTATTTTTATTGTGTTTATTATTTCGCATTCTTTGCCCATTTCTCGCAATACTTCCGTGTTAGTTTTCTTCTGTGTCCATGCCATTCTAAGCATCCTCCTGTAAAACCACATTTCAAAGGACTGTAACTTATTTATGTGTTCTTGCTTCAATGTCCAGCTTTAAAGTCCATATTGCAGTATTGAAAACACGTAGCATCACAGTGCTCTTACTCTCAGTTCTAATCTAAGGTCTTTATTGCAGAAAATTATTTTCATTTTTACAAATGCATTTCTTGCTATTTCTATCCTGGCTCTTATTTCGGTTGTTTGATCATTATTGAGTTGCACAATAGGTTAGAACCGGCAAAACACATTCATTAAAACCTTTCTGTTTAAACTGGATTAAACTTGAAAATTGTTTAATCTACCAAAGGCAGCCCATGTGAAACCTATCCTTCTTTGTATTTCAGTTGTCTGATTGTCTCGGCCCAAGCGAATCTCATGCCCTAGATATTTGTAAGCTATTACTTGAATGATGCTATCGCTTTTAATCTGGATTTTATAGCTGTCTACAAGGTTGGTAATACGAATACTTAAACGAAATGTATTGAGGATCATATGTGGCGGAATTAAAGAACAGAATCTGTGGAGAAGGCGATATAATTTCAAACTCTGTAGACTTTTTAAAGGTCTTTATTGACTTGGTTGAGCTTATCCGCCTTGTTGTTTTCTTTTTCCATAAGTTACTACAAGCGTTTTCAATCGCCGTATTTAGTCGCATGTTTTTCACCTCTGTGACTAATGCATTTTCATTTAGATCTTCTATTTTTTTAACTGTTGAAGTTTTGATGCTACTCTATCTTTTATCGATTTGCATTTATTAGCATACCTTTCTGTTATCACTGCTCTCCTCTTCTAATTTTGATCAATATTTTTGTTCTAACCAATCGATGTTCACTCCCAACAGTGATTTTATTAATTACTATAACACCTTGGACACTATTTGTTCTGTTTGTGATTATTAAATCAATTTCGTTTTTCGTTATGCTATCTGGGATAGCTCACATCAACAGGCTTCCATACTAAACATGCACCTGTCAAGGATCAGCTGCATACAATGGGACTGTTTTATGGAGACTAAGATATAGACTCTGTAGCAGAGGGTATGATACAGTGAACTATATCTTGGATTATTTCATAGCTTAGATCGCAGGCGGCAAACACTTTCCGCAACAAAAACAACCAACTACACAAATTATTAGGTTACCAATCGTTAAAGCTAAAAGTTTTAATGTGAGCAAAAAATATAGTAAACAAATGTAAAAAATAAACAAAGCAGAAGTTTAATACATTATAAGAAGGTTATACCCGAATACCTAAATGTATTAGCGAATTGTAAAAGCTTCTAAGAGAATAAAACTCAAAGATGATCCCTCCACGATTTTTCGTTTCCACTCGTGTCAAGAAAACTGAAGTTGCTGCGTATTTTTTCAATGCGTGTTTTTTTGCGATGAGAGACAAGCTAATTCATCTCGTTCGGGATACAGGTTTCTTGTACGATACGTACCATGATATTTATATACAGTTTTCGTGTAGAGGCTTTTATATACTGCATCTTTTAGCTTCAAGTAAGTAACTCAATTTATCCATGAATCTAAACAATTTAGAAATCTGTTCAGGTTAACGCGAAAAAATATTTCATCCAGTTTTCTTCAGATAATTCGCAACGAAAGAGATTGTTTTACACAATTCAGTAATTTTTAAGCTTATAAATGTTAAGAATCATATCAAAAATTTAATAAAGATTAAGCAATATGAAAATCACATGATGTAATGTATCTATTTTACTCGACATGATATGTTGAGTTAATGTTAAGGTTCGGAAAGTGTTTCTTTTTGGTACGTCTAAGTTATATATTGTTTTTATATGGGATTAAGGCACAATTTATTGTAATAATGATTACATTTTACAAGCTTATTTAACAATTTTGTTAAAGAGTGTATAACCGCCAAAGGTGTTGACGAGGTTATATTATTGCACAAAATTGAAAAATTGAAACTTGACACACTTGACTAGGCAACAGCTATGCTTTGGCATAGTTGCCTGGCAAGATATGAGAGTGCATTTTTGTCCTATGGAACTTTAAATTCAGATTACTAAGTGTTCTACATTATTAATATGTGTTATAAGCGTTTGTGTTTGAACGAGTGTTCGTGTATTATGTATGTGTGTTGTGTGCTGCATATGTATTGTGTATGATTAAATACGATGTATTTCTTAGTTTCTTAATCCGCTGTTGTTGGTATGTTCTTGTTTATGACTTCTTCTTTTAGTATTGGCAGACTAATCCCGCTACATTCTGCTAATTGATTTGCTACACATTTTTCTTATATCTTCCATCAACAAATATTGGAAACATACAATTCGTAAAGTCGTCAATTCATAACTATGACTATTCGTAACGGTATAATTCGTAACGTTAAAAGTGAATTAATTTGTTTATTTTTGTTAATGTGGGAACCAACAAATTAAAATTGGACCAACTCTTTTGGATGAAATACCTTATGAAGAACCCTTAATTCTTATGGGTTACTTTAATGCAAGAATCGGAAATGAAATAGTTCCAGGAGTAAAACAAAGATTTAATGTAAGCCATGTCAACGCAAATGGGGAAGTCATGGCTGACCTCTATGCTTTTAACGAACTGATAATTAATAATACATTTTTCGACCACAAGCTCCAATATAAATATACATTTGAAAACTCCAGAGGCCACAAATCTATGATTGGTTTTATGGTCACTAATAAAAATGGAAAAAGGTGGAAAAATCCACCCAAATCAGATTCTAGATATCCCAATGTTAAACTCAGCAGACGCAGAGACTAAACATAAACTAGTACTCGCAAAAATAAGAATGAAAATAACACCAAAACATTTTCTACAGCTAATCACTAAGAAAAAATTCAATATTGACGGGTAAAACAAATAGACGACATCGAAGATTTAAACGCGAGGTGGGAGAAAATTAAAAACGACATTGAAAAAGCAGCAACAAAAGCTCTAGAAAAACGCAAAGTCATACTGAACAAAAGAAACAACAATACATCATGGTTCAGAAAAAAACTAAAAGAGAAATGTAAAGAAAAACGAGAGGCCTACACGGAATACAAAACATCAACTAATCCAGAATCCCGAGACACCAATAAAATAATATGAAATGGAACAAAGTACTTGGTGAGAAGGTCAAAAAATGAACACTGGAAACAGTTTACAAAAAGGATGGAAAACGACTCCTACGGTATAGAAAAACAAATATGGAGATTCATAAGAAACTATCGAAAAACATACCAGCAAACTAATGGGAAAGATACCCCACAGGACTGTTTAAACGAAAGTTGTTGTTATGTTCTTCTTCTTCTTCTTCTTCTTCTTCTTGTTATGTATTGTTGACTTCTTCTTTTAGTATTGGCAGCCAAAGCCTGCTACATTCTGCTGATGGATTTGCTACACATTTTTCTTCATTAAGTAGGATATGAGATGCTTATTTAATTTTTCTCTTTTTCATGTCTGGTTCTTTTATGATTATTGATGTAATCTTTCCATTGTACTCTGTGTTCATTGTCTCAGGCATATTTATATACCTGTGATTTCTCGAAGTCTCCGTTTTTTATGTATGTTTCATGCTCATGTATCCTGACACTTAGTGATCTTGCGGTTTGTCCCACGTAGGAATTGTTGCATTTACAGGGTTGTATAGATGAAGTTCTGAGTGTGTTGTTAGTTTTGGTTTGGGACGAGATAGATATAAGTATATTGGTTGTTTTAGTTATTGTTGTGATGTTGTACTTATTACCTATCCTTTTTAATTTTTCTGATAAGCCCTTTAGATA